GCACGGAGCGAGCCGTCAGACCCGCCTCCACGGAAGTGTGCGCGCCTTCGGCCTGCGCCGTGGCGCCGAGCCCGCGGCCTCCTGCCGAGCCGCCCGAGCCGCTGCCGGAGACCCCTCGCCCCGTGTATTCCGAAGACCAGACAGCTCACGCCCACGGGCCTGTGCGGCAGCTGAGTGTGGAAATAAGTCATTCTGTGAAAAGTTGCTGGGGAAAACTTTAAGCGTAGACGAAAGTAGAGAGAAAAGATGACATGAACCTCTAGGTGCCATCACCCACATTCAACAGTTTAAATACCTGCCAGAAATGTTTCGTGTATACCTTTTCTTTCCCCTTTGCTAAAGTATTTTTAAAGCAAGTTCCAGTCAGATCATTTCGCAGCTGCATACTTGAGTGTGCATTTCTTAAAAATGGACCCTGGAAAAGGAACATCTGTAATATTTTAAACAAAATAAAATAAAATAAAAAGGACCCTGGGAATGCATCTATATCGTTTTTAACTTGGCTGACACGAGTGGATCAGATTTGGTGAGGGTAAACAATAACTGCCTTGTTCAGCACATCGGGTGCAGGAAAGAAAAGTAACAGGTTCTATCTACATCAGATTTTAGCAAGGTTGTCAAAAAGCAATTCCATCTACCCCTGTTGCTTCAACGTAGGCTTTTCAGTTTAACAATAGAATTATCCTACTTTTGAATAGCCACCATTTAACAAAACAATGAAAACATTTGGGAGACAAAGTTAGAGACTTAGTGTTATTAGATCATACTAGGGGGGAAAATAGTTCAGAGTTGAATCCACATTAAGTCATGCTGGCAAGGAGCGAATTATTGGTCATTGCTGTTGCAAGCTTCAGTGTTCTGGACAGCTTCCCTAAGTTTATGCAGGCTAAGAGTAGAAATTGCTCTTCCCGTGTTTCCCTTAAGTTATTGCACATTTATGGGTTTTCACCTTAACCCTAGAAATCAGAAATTGTTATTTTCCAAATCTCTGCCACAGATTTTCTCTGTGGTCTCAGGCAAGTTGTCAAACCTGTTTGATTTCAGATTTACTTATCTTTAAAATGGGGACAATGGCAACAGTCTCCCAGGGATAAAGGTACTTTTTTAAAAAGCTTTCTTTCGGGAATGACTCCTACCTTTGTTTCACTGTCATATCTATAAATCACAAAGTTGTAACCTGCTTTGTGACAATTTTTTTTTGGTCTCTTTTAAAAAAAAGCTATTTTTTAATTAGAGTTGACATACAATATTCTATTAGTTTCAGACATACAACATAGTGATTAGACATATATATACCTTACAAAGTGATCACCCTGTTAAGTCTAGTCCCATCTGGTAGCACATGTAGTTATTACAATATTATTGACTGTATTTTCTATGCTGTACACATCCTTGAGACTATTTTTCTTCTCGTGACTATTTTTATATCTGGCAATTTGTACTTCTTAAGCCCTTTCACCTTTTTCACCCATCTCCCCAAAACCCCTCCCATCTGGTGACCACGAATTGTGACAGTTTTTCTTTATATGAAACAGTATTTTAGAAATTAGTCCCAGATGAGTAAAATGGAGTTTACAAGTTTTGTGTTATGTCTTCATTCTTTGTTATATTTTATACCTTTTTCAAAATTGAGTTGACTCAAATTTTGGTAACCCTGTGCTTTGTTTCATTGGTATTTAAATGTTTTTTGTTTATATCTCTCTCTTTTTTTTAAATATATCTTTATTGATTTCAGAGAGAGGAAGGGAGAGGGAGAGAGAGAAACATCAATGATGAGAGAGTCGTCATTGATCAGCTGCCTCCTGCTCACTCCCTACTGGGGATCCAGCCGGCAACCCGGACATGTGCCCCAACTGGGAATCAAACCTCCATCTCCTAGATCCTAGGTCAGTGCTCAACCACTGAGCCGCGCCCTACCAGGCATAAGTGTTCTTTATATATTTTGGATACGAGCTTTTTAACCAATATGTGGTGATTTGCAAATATTTTCTCCCATTTTATTAGTTGTCTTTTTACATTCTTGAAGCACACAAGTTTTAAATTTTGATCAAGTCCAATTTATCTGTTTTTTTCTGTTGTTATGCTTTGGGTATAAGGCTCAGTCTGCTTTTTCTGCATCCCCACCCTACCTCTCCTGTTTTGCTTGGACAACCACAGAAGTTTTTTTTATTTTAGATGCCTTCCCTGTCCAATCCATTCTCTACCTGGTAGCCAGAGGTTTGTTTGTTTAAATGGAAATCAGATCATATTACTCTTCAGTTTAATACCCTTATTGAAAGTGAGATGAAATCACATGTCTTCTGTGGTCCACACAGTCCTGCAAGATTTGGTCCCTGTTTTTCTCTACCTATTCTCTCTAGCCCTACCCCACCTTGCCTGCTAAGCTTGTTTCTGCACTCACCAGGCTGTGTAGTCTGTGATTGCTGTTGGTCATTCCCAAATCTTTCTTCCCTGTCTCTGACCAGCTGGCTCCTCTCTTCCTTTAAGTCTCAGCTGCAGAGAGGTTTTTCCAGATTTACCTGCCTAGAGTGGGTCCCTCTGTTGGTGGGGTTCAAGAGTACCCCAATGTTACTTTAGAATTCTGGTAGTGATCTAAAATTCTCATTAGTTTTTTACTGTTTTGTCTCCAGTGCTTAGCATTTAGCCTCGCCCCCAGTGGATAAAAATCTCTTGTTGAGTAAGTGGGTGAATGAGTGACCCGAGTAGCTGATTTTGGAGACTGCTATCACAGAGTACACTGTAGCACACTGGCTACAGAGATGGAAGCTCAGGAGGGGACTGGTTGGTCAGTGGTGTTGGAAGCAATGGAGAGGTCAAGTCAGGTGAGGCCAGTGTTGAAGTGGTTGCACACAGTGGCATTTCTCAGAGATAGAGGCTCCAGTGGGGTTGTGGTGGGAGAGGTTTGTTATCAGTGGGTCA